CGAGATAATTGCGAAGAAAAGTGTTCATTGTTCGTCTAGTCTCACGAGTAGCTTCTTCGCGGGTCTTCTCACGAGGCCCTGAAGAAGGTCCTCCTTCCGTGATCCACATTCATATCGAGGACAATTCAATCAAAAGTACCAATCGTAGTACGACTTCGTTATCAACGAACAAAAAGCAGGAAGGGTTAAACGATAAAATCGCTTTCTCTCCTCGAAGTTAAATTCCTTTAATTTATTATCCACTTTTTGGCCCGTGGTTCGAATATTCCCACGATTTCTTTCTCCTTTCTCTACAGAATTCAATCACCGTCTTTCGAAATTTTATTAATAAACTATTACATCCAATCAGGAAGTATAATTTATGTATCGAGTTTCACTTTGCTTTTTCATACCGAAATTATTCCGTTGATCAGTTTTAAGAACGCATTTCGAGTCAGTCGAAGAAAGTTCACGGTCGTGCGTACAGGAACCTCTGATTCAGGGAATCAGGGTTAATTATATTCTACAAACTGTAATTTCTATGCATTGGTCGTGCTCGATGGCGTATACTGTTCAGAAAATTATTTGAAAGCGTTTTGAGCTGCGTTCGAACGTTCGTCGCGACGAAAAGACACTGTCAGCAATCTACTGACATAATTCAGTACTCTGCGTCATCAAGAACGAACCCGAGGATTTGCGTAATCTTAATTTATTTCCTAATAAAAAAAAAATGCACGGTACATTCGTAAATAAATTTCAATGAACACTCAAAGATCTAAACTTCAGGGATTCAGACCATGGATATCCAGCCAAAACTGAAGTGATCATCGTATGATTGAAATTCCGTTAATGATCAAATCGATCTAACAAAAATGGAGAGAGAGGTGTCGGATACTGAAGGGATGTTCTCGAAGAGAATGTCCAGCAACTGGGCAGAGCTGCCCACGACCCTTAGGAAGAAACCGAAGCATCGACCGGAGATCCTCTCACAATTCGTGGATCCTTCAGAGATATCCGAAAACGAGTCGAGGAAGATCGAACCGAAGCCGTTCAACAACGTGCAGAGGATCGTGAGAAGATCCGAGTTCTTGCGTAAATACGAGACGAACGAGAACGGGAAGTGCCCGGATTATCGAAGAAGATTTACGGATTACTCGTTCTGTCGCGTGGACGAGGATTACAGGAAGCACTATGAGGACCACGACTCGAAGCTGGACCCACGTAGGAAGAGTAACCCCGGGAAGTTCGACCACAAGAACTTCTCCGACGAAGATCGGAAGACGAACTCGCCGGATAGTCTACTGGTGAAGTCCTCGGAGTCTGAAATTAGCAGCGACGAATACGGACAAACGGACGACTCCGGGGCGTTCTTAGAGAAGGCCTCGAACCGTGAAAAGGGGAAGAACGAGCAGAGGAACAGGTTCATCAAATTTTTCGCTAAGGACGAGTGCAAGCGTAAAAAGAAAGAGGAGAAGAAGGACACTGCTCAATTGGATGTTAACAAAAATAATGTTAAACAGATCACCAAGAGTCTGGAAGCTAACAAGAAAGACAAAGTATCTAACCAACAAAATTTCGAATATGAAAATATTCCACGAATCGACGTTTCGAAATTGGATCAGAAACCGTTTCTAAATCCCATCGCGACTACTATTAATTCGTTGAACTCTAATAACAATGAGCGTCAGCAAACACAGCCGACTATTGAACAGCTGAGACTCGAAGAGGGTTGTCTGCTGCGAAACTCGAGAAACTCGAGCCCGTGCAATCAATTAAAGAGCAACGAAGCCGAGTTGAAGTACCGTGCTCAGTCGCCAGTGAAGAAACAAAACGGGAAAGATATACCGGTGAACGATTTGATACAAGATTTTTATGATAGCGAACAAATCGTCGGCCGCATGAATGGAGAACGGAAAGTCTCGAAGATGGAGACGATCGCCGAGGAGAACGGGGATGGGAGTAAATTGAGCGTCAGGGAGATCTTGAAGAGGTTCGAGGAACTGAGGACGCAGAACGAGACGCAGACGGAGGAGAAGTCGAACGACAAGACGCTCACCACGATACAGGAGACCTTGAAGAAACTCGACGAAAAGGTCAAGAGCTACCAGGTCACGATCCCGATAAAATTCTTGCGTCCTCGATTAATAAATAGTCCGTAAATCTTACTGGTTTCCAGCCGGGACATACCTCTACGTGGTGAATCGATAAGAATAATCACATAAAATAACCGATTCCCTTTTAATCGCGTTGGGAGACGTTTTGTTCGACGGAGCTCATTCAACGATTCACGTTGTATATTTCAATCAATTCCTCTTCAGTAAAAATACATAAAAGATGCATACGAACTCGAATCGTTTGAAGTACAGATATTCTTCTGGGACTGTACACGAGTAATTGAGTTACGTGCAATTTTATTACGATTCGCGACTCTTCCGTTATTACTTTAACACACTTCCAGCTAATTACTAGTCGAATAACGACTCTCCTGAAATTGCATAATACAGGAAGTCGAAACGTGTCTTAATTACATAATACACATTTATCGACCGTGCGTAAACAAGCATTACTATCTGGAATCAGTTTATTTTTACGACGTATGCATAACGTTCTTTAATTAGACAGCAACAATAGAAGGGGCCAGTAATGAATTTAATAACAAGTGCCTCTACACTTTCCCATCGAACTTTCATGCAATATGATTTGCTGTAATATGTTATTTTCGACGATCAGTCAGAAAGCAATTTCACATCGGCAATTAACGATCGACGCCCATCGACTTTCCTTCGGAACAATTTATGCTCGCCGCAAATGAAAAAACGTAGCCCGAGGTGTCAGTCCCGTCAACCTCCGAGTTTTACAACCGATAAACATTTTTTCCTTATCGCGATCGTCCTTGATGCAACGGAACCGCGTTTTCGTTTCGCTTCACGGTCGCGTGAAAATCGATTTTTCTGATTTCCACGAGAAATCGTCGAAGGAAGCTGGTTGTACCGTTAAGCAGACCAAAAGGAACGCAACACGTTCATACATAATCGAGCCTGTTTAACATCTTCACTGCGTCAGAACGTATCAGCAAAAATTTGTATCCCCGGTGCTAAAGATACCGTAATTGAAGGCTCACGCCGAGTGTAACGAGCAGAACCATTAAAAAGTTTAAACAGAATTAATCGTGCCACCTTAGAAGGTATCGTTCTTGCTACAATTAGGGTTAACGAAGTACAAATTAGGACCGCGACGCTTCAACCGGCGAGTATATATCATTTCACGAGGCGAGAGATGACGTTGCAACTCCATTAAAACGATCAATATTAATCTGAAGGCGCCAAGATAATTTATGTAGGAAATAAAACCACCTACATATCGTGAGTTACGGAAAATGCTTGATAGAGTCGTACGCATAGAGCAATTTATATCACAAGCAGGGCGGAGAGAATCAAGTAGATGCTTGTTCTTATTAATGCCATTAGCGTAACGCCGCTGTGTCCAGGTACACAACCGTATACCTGGATAATGATTATCTGGGTCAGGGTCAACATCTGCTTATCTCACTCACTCGGGTGTAATACCACGTTCAGGTTTTTGTCAACAGGACTCCGATATACCAGGTGCTACGTTATAATTTTTTCAAGAATTTATATTTCAAAATGTATGTATATGTATGTATACATATGTATTTATATTCGGTTGAGATATCGTCAAATCTGGGACGACCAATTTCCTTTTTAAAGCAATTGGCATTCAGAGCAAACTACGATAATACCTATAAAAATTGACAACATACGTTCCTTTACTTTCGGGTAATGGCTACTTATTACATAGCAAATTGCGGGAAATTGCGGGTTACGTTATTGCAATATCATTCACGGTACGGGGGAAAAATTACAGTACTGGAATGGAAGAAATCACAATTTACTAAATATACATATGTCAGCTGTTGAAATAATAATGTCGAATCGTACTGAGCCATAAAGTTGGAAACTTTCACGAGGCATTATCGGAGTCGGAAAAGTGCAACCTTTCTTGCAGACTTTCTTACATATTACACACTCGCAACTTGCTATCATCGAAAAAACAAATTGACCATTAAATATATTAAAGGTACACAACCCGCTAATTTTTTTTCATTCTTCGATTTTCTCTGAAAGCTTGTTCAAACCGTAGTACATAGCTCAAACGTTCACGAATGAGATAATTTTGTGGAGAATCTAGTCTCTGGAGAAACCAGTTACACGGATGTAACACGGATAAGTCGGCCGTAGGTCGGATTATTAATTTACGGGTTTCATCGTGGCATTAGAAAAAAGGAAAATCAAAAATCAGAGTGTACGTAAATAGTACTCATCGCATTCCTCGCGTTGATTTGCGTGCAAAAGGAAACTTGTTTCCTCGTCGGATCGATGGACCCGAGATACCCGCGGTGAAATGCAGGAAATGCGAGCCGAAAGAGAAAATGAATAATAGGAAAGGTCGAGATGCCGTCGTCGCGTAAATCATTCGCGAAACCAGGGCGACGCGAGGCGCCGCCCACACAAAACAATTTTATCGCTAGTTTTTGCTGAATAAAAAACCGACTCGTCACAGAAATGTGAACCCCTGAACGTGGTACTTCAACGAGATTCCTCAAGAAGAGAAAAGTATCGATATCCGTTTGTCTTACTTAAACGGCATATAAAGATCTAATAATAGACTGCGGATTTTTATACAAGACATGCACATATGATAGTCAACTAAGAAAATATATTTCAGATGAACGTTTCTTTTATTACTTATTCCCTGCAATATACTTTTAATGTTTGTTATGTGTTTAAATTATTTTATAAATGCATAATAAATAATAATGCATATAAGTATTGATAGCAAGTGAAATGATATCACTTTTCTCTTCCTGCAACAATATGAGACACGTGAAAATAACTGAGCTCTTTCGAGTATGCAGAATATCATCCAAATAAATTGATAGTAAAAACAAGAAGCAGAAAAAGAATTATTTCAAAAATAATAATGTACGCACTTACTTTCAGGTTGACCATAAGCCGCTGCACAAGCCGAACCATCACGAGAACCATGTGTCGCAGATCACGAAATCCATCCAGTCGCAGGCGAACCATAACAGCACGGCGAACCATGTGCACGGTCAGCCGAATCACGTTATCGGTAACCACGAGAGCAATCACGTGTCCGGTGCTCGTGTGCCGAATCACGTGTCGGCAACGAATCAGGCGAATCATCAGAAAAACCAGCAGAACCAGCGGCTGAGCTCGAGCCAGCAAGAGTGGCGGCAGCCGGAAGACAACGGCAGATTGCAAGAGGATGGCATATACGAGACCGGGCCGGTCGTCAACGACGGCAAACACTCTCTGTTGCAGTACGCCATGCTAAACTTTAGACAGAGCACCGAAAAGTTAGTAAACCCCCAATCTTTATTCATTTGATATATAAATCACGATTATAGAGCCTCGGTATTTTGTTAATTATATTCTTAATTGTTACACGCTGTGCGCTCTAGGCTTAAACGAGTAAGTAGATAGAAAAAACTTATCAAAAACACCTATTCTCTTCCTAAACGGCATAAATACAGGCGAGAGATTAGCGTTAAAAGACTAATTGGCCTCTCTTACGCAAGTAACACGGTGCCGGCCGTGTTGAGAAAGCATAACGCACTGGTTGTTCTCAGAGTAACGTCGACCATCCCGGTGAACGCGTGTAACGAATGCGGCTCGTCTTATTTTGCCGTTTTCCCGCGATCCAAGTATTCAACCGAGAAAACCCGATACAAAAATCGACAAGATTTAGTTTCTATCGTTAACTTCGTTTTTCATCGTTCGCGAAGGAGGATCTAGGTGGAATTTATTAAACCGCTAATGAACAGATTTCTACAAGTACGTAAAACAATGTTGCATTTGAAACTAGTGCGTAAAATCGTAAAGTGGGAATCGACTTATCGTAATTTCCTTCGCCATTCAGCCAGCCAGGCTAATTAAAATTAATTGGAACACGGGTTTTCACTGGTGTGCCCATTTTCATTATTCATTTCTATAGGCGCGAAAAGATATATTCAGAAACTGCAGTGAGGACCGACTTGTAAAGAGATATCGAACGCGAAACGAGAGATCACCGCGGAAAAACGATAACGTCTTTAAGAAGAACCATTAGAACGCGTAACTAGAGTGGAGGCTTCCTAAACATGACTTTGACAACTAACGACCACCCAGCCCGTATTCTCAACGGGACTTTTTCCTCTCTGGCAACATCCTGCAATGGGAATCTCCTTTACGGCCTACTCCTCCAACGAGACGTCTTCCGTTTTGGAAGACTATTACTTAAGTCCCGTTTCATCGATAAACTCCTATCCAGTGGAAGTTACATTCCGACGCTGATATAACGATTTTTCCTCTCGATATCCGAGACACAAGCGTTATAAAATATGACAGAGCTTCGTATCAGGATTATCTCTAAGCCGGGGGTTTCAAAGAGAATTCCTTTCTAGATTCGAGATGCTGAAGACAGCCGATGGGTCGATAAGCGGATCCCTTAAAGTGATAGAGTCATTGAAGAGTAAAAAGAAGAACAAGAAGAACAAGGGTCAACCGGACGGCGCGGAATGGACTTGGAAGGAACAAGTGGACCTTGTGAAATACTCTCCGGTGCCAATCGAGCAGAGTCTTTTAAGATTAGACGCGGATTTGAGTACCCTGGCAGTCGAGTGCTTCTTGTGTCTAATGAGGTACATGGGCGATCAACCGTTGCCGCCTGATACCAGCGAAGTTAAATGCGTTTACACCATTCTAATGGTAAGTGACAAATGAATTTCTAAATAACTAAACGTTAGTCAATGGAGGTTGATTCATGGAATAAATTGGAGGAAGCGCGGTGAAACTTGTCGAGATGATTTCAATTTAATGATGAAGGATGCAATACTAATCTGATAACCCACTTTCAGCAAAGGAAACGTTAACTTACTTTTACAATTAAATGCAAGTTGCTCTTTCACAGGATTTTCTCTTATAATAGCAATCGTAATGATTTCTTGAAGGAGAGTTTCGAACATCTTGCAAACAGTGCATTAAGACTATTCCATTATCGATTTTTACAACTGGAAATGTGTGCCACATTAATATATTACCATCCTTCACCAATAATTGAATTCTAACAATATGGAAGGGTATTCGGATATGTAATTTTATTCATTTTATTTTCATTCTTCGAACAGTGTACATTTTAAAAGAAACACTTACGGTATACCTCACTGAGTTCCCCGACTAATTACGACTAGCTTTCCCTTGCCTTAAATTACCAGAATCTAAGTTATCTCTACTCTCGATCTCGTTGCAGCATTGTCACAAGTACGAACAGCTCCGTGACGAGGTATACTGTCAATTGATGAAACAGACCACGAACAACAAGAGCCCGAATCCCGAGAGCTGCCAACGGGGCTGGAGGATCTTCAGCATCGTCGCTGCTTATTTCACCTGTAGCGATGGCCTCAGGCCGTACCTTACCAAATACCTGGAAACCGCGGCCTACGACAAGCGGAGAGCGTATCATGGAACAGCAACGGTGTGTCTACAGAACCTAAGGAAAACGGTCAAGTACGGTGGAAGGAAAAACGTGCCAAGCGTGGACGAGATTATGGCTATCAGCGCGGGTAGAAACGCGAAGCGACAGATTTACAGATTGCCAGGCGGAACGGAAAGAGTTATCAACACCAAATGCACCACTGTTGTCCAGGTAAGTCGTTGGAAATAAAAATTGCGAGAGCCAGATTCAAAATGTGCAAGTCAAGTTAGGAAGCCTGATTTGAAACTAAAAATATAATGCAGAAACAAATTCGAACATTTGCAACCATTCCTTGGAAATGAAAATTAGCAATACTATTAATGAGCTTGAAATAGGAAACTATCAATGCCTTAACGATATTCTCACGTAGTTTATAAAACATTTCTCTAACACTATGCTTTGTAAAACGAGTATAGAAATAAATAATAGAAACAAATTATGGTAATATTGGTTTGAAGTATTTAAAAACAGTGAAAAGTAAATGAATTCTGTGCTGCCATGTACAGGCGCAACAAAACACAAGCAAGAAGGCATGAAAATTAATCATGCAGTGGGAAATCACAGCATAAAATCAAAGCTTACCGTATTATCATTACTAATCATCATAGCCTGCAGATTCGATGCATTCATAAGAAAACTGAATATGCAAAAATTACAACTGCATGTAACATGTAAAAGTATTGAGAACATCTAATGCATAAAAGTATTGAGAAACACACGAGCAAAATGCATATGACAATATACAAATACTTACTTAAGACACGATCTTCTAATTAATATCAAAAATGTTTAATTGTGCAAAAATCAACAGTTTAATGATTAACAAAGGCACAAGTCACTAACACTTTCATGCTCTGATTTCCGAAAGTGACGTACGTAACCTGCATACGACGCGATCGGATAAAGCAAATGAAATCTCGAAAAGTACGCAATGCTCATTGTTACTAACAATGGATGCGATGAATTAATCGTTATAGAATAAATTAATGTACTTACCGGCACTGGATTGATCGTATTTTAATCGATTTTTCACTTTTCTTCCCACAATTACACGACAACGACACAGAGACGCACACTGCCTCGACTCTAAATGGCGGACGTACCGCGGCCGATCCGCCTGCGCGCCAAATTCAAACCGCGTGTACAGTACCGCGCACATACGAATTTCAAATAAATTGCAGAAATAACACGTATTAATAATAGAAACGTGTTATATTTAAAGTGAAATTTGTTCCTTGATTATTTATACGTAAATTCACGTAAATTCAATATCATGTTTCTACCTTGTATGAATAATTATGTTTATTAATAGGACGTTATCGAGGAGATGTGCAATATAATATCCGTAAGGAATCCTCACGAAATGGACGAGTTTTCGTTATACTGCATCGTCGAAGGAGATGCATTCACCATGCCTCTAGCAAGAGACGAATACGTACTCGACGTAACTACAGAATTGCATAAAAATCATCAAGTCTTCTATCTAATATTCTGCAGGCACGTATTCTCTTAGTAATCAATTATTAATAAAACGATAAGATACGTAATATCGTCTTTTCAAATTCAGATCCGTCTGGTATTATCCTTTGAGACTGGACGCACCGTTGTATATAGAAGTTGTGTTCAATCAGATAGCTCCGGATTACTTGGAGGGTCACCTACTAGTTTTACCCGGCGAACATTTACCTCAAGAAGTCATAGTGAGTTATAATATTTCAATATTATTAAGATATATATTTTAATTATTTTTTCTAATGTTTCTCCTTGTCTTCGCAGTATGATATGGCCCAGATTGCAGCTCTTTTGCACAGGGCAGCTGATATGACGTACGAACCGTCCACGAAGGAAATCAAATACTTGTTACCAAAACCAGTGCTTAGTTTAAGAGAGCCACGACCGCAGCAGTGGTCGAATATGGTTCAACAGGCGTGGAATAACGTGCAGCATAATACAGTGGCAGCTTGCAAAGCTCAGGTACTCGGTAAGTGCGTCGGATCTAATTTTTCTGTACAGTTTTCTTTTAATCCGTTGAATCAATGATAAAATCGTGTGTAGAAATTTTATGGAAGTGGCCGCTATTCGGATCCAGTTTCTTCGCAGTGAAAAGGGTGCCGGAAGGGAAAGAGAAGGGCGGCGAGCACCTCCTCGCGCTCAACAGACACGGAGTTCATTTCATCGACTTAATCACGCATGTAAGTTTCCTAATTTTGTATTTTTTTTTATCCAGGAGTAATCAAGTGACGATATGAACTTTCAATTTTCAGGAAACTCTGTATCATTATCTCTATTCCGAAGTGATCTCCACTAGGAAAGTGAAATCAGAAGAAGGAACGCTTTACTTGGACATGAAATGCGGCAATTTGATGCAGCAGCGCATCACGAGACTTCAGACTGAACAGGCTCACGAGATTTCGCGATTAATTAGACAGTACATCACCATGGAACAAAGAGCGAGCAACGCTCAGGTCGCTGGCGTTGGATATGATGCGTTCTTAGGATTTTTTAACTGCGCGTAGAATTTATGACAGAAGGTAAGGCAAGAGGATTACAAGAGTTTGTCCGTACCTTGCTGAAGGTACCGTTTTTTAACATTTTGGAAGTCATTAGTTAAACGACGATTCGAAGGTCTCGAGATACTTAAGGGAAACTTTCGGGTTGTCACAGCACATAGCTCATTTTGGCTGGGCTTCTCAGTTTTTTTTTTGTTGGGAAATGCAACCCCCTCTACTCTTGATTTTTGCCCCTTCTGCGATTTTTACGAAGGAGCTTTGTCCAGCAGCGGACAGATTCATTGGAGTTTCGTTAATCAGCAAGAGCACATCACGCGTAGAAACTCACAGCAAGCGTAGTTCAAGTTATTGATTATTAAGACGCGTATATTTATTGTACAAAATACAGTCCATTAGTTTAATCAAGCATTGCATTTTTATTGTGTATAATATCTAACTCACTCCGCGCATTCTGGCATCCGCATCAATTACGATTGTGGACCAGGGCTCAACAGGATTTGGCATGAGATAAAATTTATCCAGCGTACCATAGAAATATCAGTGTTTTCAACGCTCTTCGCTTGTTTGAGAAAGTTCATAGAAAATTACTCTTTGTTATTTATTTATGAGAGAATTAGGGAGAGGAGGGAATTGTAAAAATTTCGATTTGTTAAGCAAAAGAAGAATAGAAAAATATAGTTTGAATCTTACGACTTGTAAATATGTCTAGTTAGAATTGAGGAACAGACAGTTTTATTCTATCGTAGATAGAGTCATTGTAACTTCAAGTGGCGATCTATACGTAAGTTCATACCTCGATAAAGACAAAGCGAACGGTGTATCGCGTTGCAATGAATTATAACAATAACACGATGTTCAAACTTTCAGTTTAGTTATACAGCGTTGAGAAAACTAACGTAAATTAATTATATATAACGCTAATACGTAAAAGGAGAGAGAGTGGGAAAGAGAGGAACGAATGCTCAAGTCAAGTATCTAAGCAATTAATCTCAGCTCTGTAAATACGTGTTTAGAAACGATTAGAAAAAGAAGGGACTGCGTGCGAAGCTGAGAGAGCGACGGTTCAGTGAAACAGTAATTAACAGATTTAATGAAGTTCGATGTTGGAACACGTCGACGCTCTTGATGAGATCTTCCGATCGATTCCTTCATCTCAGCGCTTACAAATTTCGTTTTGTTCGATGACTGAAAAAACTGTCAAATAATGAGGGAGGTCTTGATAAGGTAATCGATTTATTTATATAAAATGTGTAAGAAAAGGAAACAATACGGTACACGACGCAAGAGTTAATGTAAATCTGATTGAAGACTAACATCTTTCACGAGTACGTTCTGATGAAGACTAACAAGCTGCGGTTACATGTTTATCACAAGGAGACATTATTATTAATAATTGTATGTATGCGTATCGATGTGAACGGAGGTGTTAAAACTTTATATTAAAAGTTTCTACATATAAAACGGATTGTGTTTTCTTTCGTAATCCTATCCAACATCATTGCCAATAAAAAATGATCTCAAAGATATATACGTGTATTTACTGGTACAAAAGAGGCAGTGTGAAGATAAGTCATGATAAAAATAAATATACATATTGTATAATAATAAGTACAATTAAAAATCTAATGTTAATTAAAATATTAATTTATCTCGCACTTCGTGTTTTGGTACGTCATTCTTGCTTCTAATATTTCAGGATTATCCTTATTTGACTATCTATCGATCTAATCGTTTCATAAAATTTGTTCCTTAGACTTTCTGTTCAAATTTCCTCAGTAAAAAATTGATTCCATTAAATCCTATCGCGAGTGGGACTCGAGCCAGGCGTTTTCGTTTTCGTCTCCTTCGGCCAGTTACTGACAGTGTGTCGGACGTATCCTGGGTCGGTAGGCGACGATGGCGATCGAACATTCGGTGTCTGTGTGCTCGTTGTTCGCAGAGAACTGAAACACTCTTCCAGCATCTCGATCTCGTCCTTGTTCTGATCGTAACCCTTTGGCGGCGGTGGAATATTGAAAGAAACGTCACGACCTTTCTTCTGACTCCCCCTCATACGAATTGGCACGTTGTCGTACTGACTGGTGTCGGAGTGTCTGTTATCACAACCAATAAAGGTTCGATAAACTAAGTCGTCGGATTGAACGATGATGAAAATGAATAATTCTGATTGATAATCACCTGTAGCCCTCGAAAGCTTCCTCCACATCGCGTTCGACTTTCATGATCCTCACACCAGGATTCATCACCTTCGCAAACATGCTGTCGCTCCTGCGATTCGAATCGGTAGGGAAACGAGGGGTGTCGACTTCGTCGACTGGCCTTTGATAAATATCCTGAGCCTTGTACACCACCGTGGGAGCGTCCATCCTGTGATCCATTTTATATCCTCTCTCAGACTTCTGCATCTCAGAGTCTCGGTACATCTGCGAGTCCCTGAGAGCTCTCCCATTCTCAAAATTTTGCGTGTACTCCTTCAGCTCCCTATCTACTCGGTCGAAACTTTCGACGTCCTCTTCCCTGGACGCATCTTTAGAACGTTGACGATCCTTCTCCCATTTGTGAAATTCTTCAGACTGTGCTTGTGAGCTTTTCTGCTGTCGTTCCTCTACTTTTTCAAAACCGTCATTCACATTGCCATTGTCGTCTTTTTTAGAAGTCTTCGGACTCGCTTTCGATTTCGATTCTTTCTCGCTCGTAATCGTCGTTATTTTAGCTACGAAAAGATAATCAGAAAATATTTCTATGTTATTTTGAATAAAATATTCGTTTACCTCGTTTATCAGTTAAACGCTCCCTCATCTCGCTAGTCTTCTTCTTAGGCGTGCTCATTAATAAATCAGCGATGAAGATCAGCGCTGTCACTAAACACAGCGCTCCGAAAACTGCTGCATTGTCTATGAGATCCTCGGGGACATTCTCGATAGAGGCCATAGATAAAGCACCGACGATACCGAAGAGAATCACGCCGAGTCCAAGGAAGAATATTTCCTTAAATTAGAGAAATTAATCTTCAGGATCGTTTTAATATTAATTTCTTCCTTAGTTTTCATAATAGAAGCGAAACAGCCTTCGTCTAGAATTCCGCAACTTGTATTCCTTTTTATGATTTCTTCACAATGGTACCATTGAAAGCAAAACATTCATCGCTGTGCCATTTACATTTCTTCAGATATTCTTCAATGCAAATTTCATACTCAATGAATGCTCATGTATTCGAAAATGATCGGCCCAGCCTCATGAGTCACTAAGTCCGAGCATAGTATATGCAATACATGACTCAATTGCTCTAACGCTACAAGGATGCTGTTACGTGCCTCTTCTTGCAGTAACCTTGCCCCACGAAGACGACGACGACGTAATATCGGTTGGATAACGATATTCTCACGCTGTCGTTAAAAAGCCATGCTCCACATTCAAACGATTTCTCGTTTCACGCCCAGATCTGTGCGTGAGTCAAAAGAAAAACGGGGCCTTGGAGAAGAATTCCGTGTCGCGTCCAAGCAGTTCAATCATTATTGTTGACTGTCTAATGAAGGTGTGCCTCGGAAGAACGAGATTTGCAACCAGGAAGAACATTAAAAATCTGATGCGTACGATTAGTATCGTGAGAACGGCGGACGCTACGCCTTGGAAAAATTGTTGATCGATGAATTTGAATAAGAAATGCGAATGGCAGGCTCAGATAGATTTTTGCAAGCAAAAACAGAAACGAGAAGAAGTGTACGTCTAATCGGAAAACAAGTTTTTCTGCCGAATAATTAATTTAGTCGTAATTATTGTTTTTGCCGCGTCATGCGTCCGAGGTGTGGACTGAACAAAAAGACATTAATGAGCGATAAAATCAGGCGGTGCGTCGAAGGACGCTGCGTCCCGTAAAGGAGAAAGAATACCTTGGATAATCTAAACAATGAGACTATTAAAGAACGGTGACGGGTTGCGTAATTGTCGAGGAAGAAGAAATTAAGGGAAGTGCACGTTTTAGCCACGTTCCAAATTTTATGTACCTACGATGTGAAATAAATAAAGAAAACCATTACCGTCTTGCGACCGTTGAGCTCTCCGGTAGCAGCGGCAATCAGTAGACCCGTCGTGATTATTATGTAACCGCCGCAGGTCGCGGTTGCAAGAGCGGCGCCTGGATCAAAAGAAATCTTGCATGTTTTGCATATTGCTTCTTCCGGCATAATCATCATTCATGAACGATATTACAGTAATTTGTATCTACTAAATTTATTTCTTCAAACGATTCAAGAATGATTTAAATAAAATGAATATTTGCAAACCTATTGCACCCCACGTGACATTATTCAAGAGGGACCATTCCCTGCTGCGGCTCCTCAAGTAATGGAACACCCTTCGACTCTCGTCATTCGTCACCCTAAGCGCCACCACGCATGCGATACACAGTATCTGAGAAAAAAGATAATGATACCTCGTCAGGTTTGTTCAATTCATTTATAATTGAATAAAAAAGTGAGAAGGAATTGAGATTCAATTTTATCCTTTCCCTGCTATGTAGGGATAATTAGAAATAATTAATTGTGGGAGTATGCTAGGGTATAATTGCGTTGTATCGTGAGAACACTGACACGAGACCAATTAATAATAACTGAAATGTAAATTCTACTGCTGTTTAAATTTTACTATCTTATTTCTGCATTTAGAATAAATTTTATACATACCACTTCAATAATTCTGATAAACACTTTGCGGTTCCACATGGCTATTTATTCACAGATTATTACGACTGTTATAAAGCTCATTCTTCGATCAGATAGCACTATTATTCAATTCTTACACTGTCATTTTAAAAAGTGTTCAATTTTTATGAAACGATCCATTGGCACGTTCAAACCAATTACAGAAACATGGGTAATTTATTAAAAATGAATACAGAATTTTATGTTCACGTGTTCACGAAAATGAAAGAATTAAAATAAATTATAAAATAAGTTTTATTCATTTCGATAATCAATTGACGAACTATGTTACCAATTAGTTAACGAAATGTTCAAGTTCTGGTTTATGTCTTGATGAATTTCGGAAGGAGGATCCGAAGACGATTCGCGGCGCGGGTCGGTCGGCAACTGAGGAGAATAGAGAGGATCGGAGGCTCGAGTTGCCTGTACATACGTACGGCGTGTCGCGTAATAAGGTCTGCGTACTCCTGGTAACAACAATGCTATTATCGTTAGGTGCATTGGCGCAGCACGGTGTGAATTTTCGCAACAAATACCGTGGAAATGGTTAACGAACCGGCTTGCACCTTGAACCGGTTCGATAACGTTCCAACGAACCGGCGCGCCAGGGAAACTAAATGAAACATACAATTTTTTCTTAACGAACCGATCAGTCGTTCATTAAATTATTTCCGTATGAATATATTGTTCAAGCATTGTTTGAGACGAAGTTTCTGAGGAAATTCTGGATGGAATACGTGAAATGATTCACCGGTGCGACGTAATTACAGTAAAAAAAATTACATCGATGTCACGATAGGACAAATTGCTTGTTTAACGCCAGTGGAATATAATTTCCTTATTGAGTCACGGTATGAATCATATCAAATTGAAGATTTGAGTGAATGAAAAAAATCTGACCGTTTTCTAATATCTTTGCAAACAGCTAGAACATTCTTCTGGTATAACAATTTATCTGTGTTATTATTATAGATGAGGATTTCATTATTATTTTTGAGGATCAAACAACATTGTCCTCTATTCGGGTTACGAGTGTCGATTCGGATACATTGTATAACGTAGAGACTCGCCAGGCGATCCACTGAGAAACAGTGTAGCGTTTGAAATTTGACGTATATTTCATATGGAGAGACGTGCTGTTAAAACCACGATGAATTCTTTAATTTCCACGAAATTCTGCCATTGTCATAAATCATATGTTAGGTTTATGTTACTGCAAAAGTAGGACATGAATTCAATAGACAATACAGAATCTAGCGTAATAAAGTATGAAACTAATAATGTTTTTAACATATGTATACTGTATGTACGTATACGTATATGTGAAACAAATTGAAAGAGCAATACTCGAAATGTAAGAGTATGACAGATGACGATATTTAAAAATGAAGATTGATAATTATTAATTATGAATAATGTATTTACAATGTAATTGTTATTAATCCTAGTCTCTTAAATGCAAAGAGAATATTTTCTCTGTGCATGTGATGAAAATATAATTTCACTGCTGGAAAAACTATTTGCAAATATAATAATTCTTTATTAAAAGACTATATTAATGAAAATTGTTATTGTTACAAATATCTAAAAATAATCGATCGTTCCCTTGGAGTTCCAACATTCTAGAATATAATGGAAGTGGAAGAAACGGTATAAAGCAAAAACAGAAGAATATTGACGAGAGAAAAATAAATTTTGAGGATGAAAAAGGAGACGAATATTATCTCCCCACCAGAGTCTGAGTAAAAAAATAAAATTGCCCAATGGCAATGGCCCGAAATAAGCGCCATCTGACCCCCATGCACTTGATCCGATCTGTTTGGCTCATGGGACGATCGTTTAGTTAGTGGACCGGTCCTTTTCAACTCGCAGTGGTATCGGAGGTGTCTTCGTTGACGATCGACCTCTCTGTGATAAACGTATCTCACAGGACGGTCCGTTCTTCAGAATATGTGAATCGAAAGTGAAATCATTTTTTAAAAGAATGAAGTGAATGTAAAATAATGTTCAATGTAAATAAATTATTAGAACAGTGTAAAGTAAATATGCCGATTAAGGAAGGCCAGTTCGAAGCTAATCAAATATCGATGCCATCACCTATGATGTGTCAACAATTAAAGGAAGACAAAATTATAAGGCTGCAAAATATTAGAAAACAGTTGGGTGAGTATAATTATTATTTTAAAACTAACTCTAATTTTATTATAATAACGATTAGAAATATTAAATATCGTATTATGATTCCTTACGTAGTCGTCTTCTTTTTATCGTAAAAATAAAATTACTGTTGGATGCATTGTCCCCCCTCGATCGTTGATTGTTACGACACAACAGTTTACAACAATCCATAGTTGCGTAATTGACCAAATATAGCGTGATTCTTTGATTCTCCCGATTTCTTCTCGAGAAAATCTGCGTTCGCCAAAGAAACGTTAACAAGTTCTAATTAAATCTAGCGTACTTAAAAAGTCGGAAGTCAATGATACAATCCCGCGGCTCGGACGGGAGATCGAACAAGGAACAATTGGAGGTCAGCCTGAAATTGTTGAAACTCGTAGCCGATACGCAATTAAGTTTGACTCAAGTCAACGGGCAGAGGAAGCTGGGCCCACCGTCCGGGTGGGTGGGATCCCCTCCCGGGCCTAAGTGCGAGGTCTTCGTCGGCAGCATTCCCCGCGATTTTTATGAACCCGAGCTCGTTCTCATCTTCAGCACCGTTGGAACGATTTACGAATTGCGTTTGATGATGGAATTCTCCGGCGCTAACCGGGGATACTGTTTCATCATGTTCACCACCGAAGAGGAAGCAGCCTGTGCCGTTAGAGAGTTGGACAAGTACGAGATTTACCCTGGCAAGAGGATCGGAGTTGTTGCCAGTACGAACAACTGTCGAATCTACATGAGCCAGCTCCCTCGCCACATCGGCACGCGAACAATTATCAGAGTTAGTTGATTCATTCTTTTTTTTTTTCTCGCCGGTTTATTTTACTCGTATTTCTGTTTGACGTATATCGTTTGTTTCATACACAGAGGATTTACGACTACACCGAGGATATCGAGAAAGTGTGTGTATATCGGAATTTTAAGGGCTTCGTTTCCTACGTGTTGATTTCGTATAATACCCATCGCAGTGCGGCGATGGGTAGGAAGAGATTGCTGCCCGAAGCGGCGAATTTATTTAAAAATACCGAGGTCAATATCGAGTGGGCCAATCCGTACATATCTCCTTCCAACGTGGTACGTATGATTAAAGTATCTTTCGTATAATACAATATTCGAAATTTGAGTTGAATGTTCAATATTTTGTTCGAATTACAATTGTATTGAGAAAGGATCGTAAATTTGGTAAAGAGAGGTCAGTGTTTGCAAATTGCATCGAGTGGCAATACGATTTTCCTCTTGCGAACAGGGGAACAATGCCGCGGCGGTCAATTATGGTCCCACGTGAAAACGGAACGTGGGTACTTTCCCTTGTTAGATCGTCTACGCAAATGGCAATACGATTCGTACGAATCGAAAAACCTTGCGTGGATCGCTGCAAAGTCGCGACGCACCTTTATCCCGGCCTTCATTTTATGAAAAAGGTTGATGCTCATTTTTATGCTTGATTATTAAGTAGCCATGGCAACGAACCGAAATAACCGCTATGAAATTATATTAGTTTTTACACTCTTATAATTCTTGTATTTATCATATTATAATTACATTTAATTTTATACGAATTGTTATAAAATAACTATTAATTTATTTCAGTCATTATCACAATTCTAACTGCATACATAAATCAATGCTTTTATATAAATATTTTATTATCAATTTTTGTATATTCTGGTTTGAATTGTCACGTTTTGAACGAAATAGTATTCCGTCTGACTACGAGGGGGAGCGCCAAACATTGAAGAGTTTGCGCGGTGTCAGATGTAATCGAGTCGATCAGCTGTTTGCATCGTTCCTCATTGCTCGCGTGCTCTGCTCCGAAATCGTTGCACCGCTCCTGTTCTTTTTTATTTTAATCGTGAAAGAGTGAAAATGAGCGGGAATAGTGAATACTGTGATTATCGTAGCCCCTTGGCAACGAGATACGCATCGAAGGAGATGCGGTACAACTTCAGTGATCAGCAGAAGTTTAGCACGTGGCGAAAACTATGGATTTACTTGGCCAAGGCGGAAATGGTTCGTAGCCGGCGAAACGAAGTTGTCATAGCTTATTTTTGAAACGTGTATTAATGAATTTTGTCCTAACACGTTTGCTTCGCGCTTTGCTGATTGTAATTTAAATGTATTTGTATGTTAATTTTGTGGACTATTAGAATAGAATTAATTCCAGTTTTAATGTATTTTATATATTACTGTACATATTATTTATAGACATATGATAAAAAATTGTTATAAATATTTTATTATTGCTGCTGCTATATAAGTGCTGCATAAAACGAAACATCGTATTGCCACATATTTGCCATTGTGCAAGTATTGAGAACATTTCCAAAGGGTCATCAGAGGTTCATCTCATTCGAATATCATACACAGGCCACGATACGAATTTGCAAACACGAAGCGTCTCTCTTAAGGATATATTGGCTATACAGTCAATCCCAAAAGTTTATGTACCTTAGAAAAACGCATTTCCTATAATTAAAAAGAAATCAGACGTCGGAAGAATAATGCTAATAATAAATACGAGCTAAAAAGTATAGAAGGAAATACCCAATTAAGTATTGACGCTGACGGAAATTTTTTTTTTTCAAAATTGCGAAAAATGCTTCAATTAAAAGATGTTTTCCTTCTAACTTCGATATTTAACGAGTTACGTATGATTATTTGGCATTTTATTGATGTTGACAAAATCCGACCATCCCAGCGTCGAACCGGCGAACTTTTGGCAAAAAATTTCATTTTTCCTTAATTACTCCCAAACCGTTGGACATACGGAAAAATTGTATAGAACCTTTCTTGTAGAGGACGACGAGATCTACAA